ATGGATTTTTCTACTAAAAGTATTAAAATTTTAATCTTAACTTCTTAAAAGAAAACTATGTCAGTCTATTTTTCGATCTGACTGAAACGTATGTTTACTACTCATTAACAAAAATTCAAATATGAATAAATTGTAAAAATAATTATGTCTGACTATAATAATAGATTTAACTACTAATAGATTATAATATTTCCACCTTACTCAAAATATTATTAACTGCTTTTTTGTTAGACTATATTATATGATTTACTACTTATTTAGAAAACTACAAAGATATAATTTATTATTTATTTATCAATCAAAACTTTCATTTACAAAAATTTCCATTTACCACTTTTTTGTCTGACTAAATAGTAATTTTACTACTTATTTACAGAACTGCAAACCTTAATTTGATTTTTGACGAAAATTGTTTTTACTAAAAACCAAAAACTTTATATACTTTCCGTTTCGAATAAACTATTATTAATTTATTACTTTTCTGTCTGTCTAAATTATAGTTTTACTAGTATTTCATAGTCGTGCAATAATATAAAGTCACTTTTGTAGGTTATTATGATGTTTAATACTGAAAAATGAGATAAAATTTATAGACGGAATATTTCTAAATTGACTTCTTTTTATTGTCAGTAATAAAATCAAGCATAAGTCAGACAGAATTATAATCCATTTTCTTTATTTTCCAATACTATAAATTTCACCAAATCACCTTCAATTACCAAGACTTGTACCAATAATAAAACTACGATTTATTTATAGTCAGAAGCTATTATATTTTTTCTAAATTATCAATCAGTAGAAAAATCAATATATGACCAAACCGCATGCGTTGCCGGCTTTTTATAAAAAATTTTTCACTGTCAGTAGAAATAATAAATTTAAGTCAGATTGTTGCGAAACTTTTTAATTCACACCCAGTAAAAAGGAATATTCAGTTCACATTCCTGGAATGTTCCATTTGCAACATTGAAAATATTTCTTTGGAATATTTCAACCACATTTTGAAAATGTTTATATCTTGAATATTAATCTTATGTCCTACCTTTTACTGAAGAAAATAAAATTTCAAAGTGAGAAGAAAATTCCGCTCAACAATTATTTTTACATTTTATTTTCAATTTACGAATATTCATATCTAAAAAAAAGGAATTTTTGCCTATATTTGAAAATGTTTTAATTGAAAGATTAATTTTAATATTTCTTTTTTGATTGAAATTATTTCTCTAAAAATAAAACAAATTTATACTAGAAAGAAGAATAATGTAGAAATATTCCAGGAATTTAAAGGAATATTCGTATTGAGGAAACGATATAATTTTTTTTATTAATTTTTTTTTAAAGAGAAAAGAAAACAGTTGATGTAGTGATGTACCTGATAAAAATCAGGTACACCTAATAATCTTATTCCACAGTAAAAAGAAAATCTTATTTTAAGGCACGAAAGCTGCCTTAAATTAAGATGCAACATTTTTAAGACAGTCAATGTTGAATTTACGCACGTTTTTCGTATCCTTTAACATTATAGCAGACAGTGTTGAATTTAAGGCAGCTCTTAAATTAAGATTTACTTTTTGCTGTGTCCATTAGGCAATTTAGGTAAAGTAATTGCCAAAGAGATAGCAAAGGTAAATAGTACAAAGTTGAGAAGAAATTAAATAATCTAGGAAAATTTCTTCGAATAAATTTTCTCAAAAATTATAATTAAATGAAATGCAGAATACTTAAAGAAAAATTTGCTTCGTCGTTTTATTGAATCGACTTGTATCATCGCCGCATTTCATATAAATTTAGTTTTACTTTTTTTTTGCACAACGATAATAAATTTTTATTTTCCCGCATTTTCACTGCAGTCTTGCTCGCCATAAGGAAATACGAAATTGAATACGATTATGTGAATTCGATTCGACGATAGAGAGCTTTTTGAGCATAAATAATCTAAAAACTTTGTTCAAGTTTCTTTTTAAACGTGGCGCAAAAGATATATTTTCGTTTTGGTATATATATATGTATATGTATAAAGGGAAGAATGGAAGGGGCAAATCGGTATCACTATATAAAGAGACTGTCTCACGTCCTTCTATGCGCGGGGGAAAATGGACGGAAAATGGACGGAAAATGCACCTCTTAGCCTTTACTTAGGGCCACGAAAATGGGATAATAAATAATCGTCAGATAAGGAAAAATCGTGAGCATGCGTTTCTAGACGTCCAGACGCACTTTGCTGTCTCCATTCTCGTATTCGTAATATGAATGAGAGTATATGTGCGTATTTTGTATTTTTTACCATATCTTTCTTCACGTTTCTTTTCTCATCTCAGACTTTCTCTTACTTTTTTTTTATTTCCTCGACTTACGACCCCGACTAAAATCTTTGCCAGGATTTTCCTCTTATATTACTTATATTCTTCCATTTTTTTTGCGCATATACATTTTCAAGTTTTACGTAATATTCCAAGTTTTGTAAAACCAAAGAAAAAAAAACATGAAAAAAATGCTGAATTTAAAACAAAATTTATTTTTTAAAAGTAAATTTCAAATTTACACTGTAGAGAAAAATTATATTTTTTATTTATAATTTTAATAAGTATGGGTGTTTTTTCTTTCACAGAAAAAATTAAGTGTTGTTTTAACACTAAATTGGGTGTTAAAACGACTCGCAATACTTTTTCACTAGAGGTGTTATTTTAACACACCCAAGAGTTATTTTAATACTATACTCGGTGTTCGTTTATATTACTAACTACACCGACTAGTGTTAAAATGACACCACTGTCTACAACACCAATTTCAAATAACACACAACATATTTAACACCTACACTGAAAAAAAAATTTAATTGATTCAAATAACCGATTAATTGACTATTATCAATTAAATATTTAATTGAATCAAATAATATTTATTGGAGTCAATTAAATGGTATTTGGTTCAAATACTGAAATTATTGATTCAAATACCATTTAATTGACTCCAATAAATATTATTTGATTCAATAAAATATTTAATTGATAATAGTCAAGTAATCGGTTATTTAAATCAAATAATTTTTTTTTCAGTGTACTTTTCTCTGTGTTCTTTGGATTTGACAATGAATTTATTTAATTCTTTTATAATTCGGTCAATTTTTGACCGATTTTGATGAATCAAACATGAATTTTTTCAGAAAATTACGTATTTTTAGAAAATTATATAGAATGAAAAAAATTTGATATTTAAATATAAAAAAAGTAAAAATAAATTTTCTTTTACAGTTTTTATAACTTTCGACCCATTATTTTTAATTTTTTCATAATAATCTCGATCAATTCATCTTTAATTTTTAAAAAATGTATCTTGGATATACATATATTTTGTGGTCCAAAAACGGTCCGAAAAAAAAGTTTACAAAAAAATATGCTTTCATCATATATAATGTTTTTAGGGTCGCTGAATTCGAATTTTAGGTCAGTTTTTTAAAATTCAAAATGGCGGATCTAATATGGCGGACGAGAAAGTTAAAAATCCATCGGATTTGCTTAAAACTTGCTACTCGGAGGTTTTCGGGTTCGCTAATTACGAATATAATGTCAGATTTTCAAAATTCAAAATTGCGTATCCAATATGGCGACCTACTTTTTTAAAAGTTAATGAATTTGTCTAAAAATATTTATTCTTGTAAATTTTTGAATAAAACAAAAAAACCTAAAAAGATTAAGTAAACATTTTTGATACAAATTCGTCAACATGCAGAAAATTTGTTCGTCATATTGAATCCGCAATTTAGCATGTGGAAAAACGAACATCAAATTCGAATTCAGCTACCCCAAAAACCCCCAAAAAACGAATTTTGATCGAATAGCAATAATTTTGAAATTATCCGCCATATTGGATCCGCCATTTTGAATAACGAACATTAAATTCGAATTCAGCGACCCCAAAAACTCCCGAGAAACAAATTTCAATCGAATCGCATCAATCAAGCAAATCTAAAATTTTTGTAGTCGCCATTTTTAATCCGCCATTTTGAATTTTTTAAATTTGACTTCAAATTCGGATTCAGCGATCCCAAAAACCTTAGTATGTCTTCGTAAATTATTATCAAAAAAATTAATAATAATGTTAAAAATATATAAATGTATTTTTGGTTAACGAAAAAATTGTTATTGCAAATTTTTACTTTCACACATTACAGATATATTTGATTTATTTTCTATATTACTTTTACCGTTTTTTAAAATTTTTTAATAATAAATAAATTATTTATTTAAACTGCAAATATATTTATTATTTACTTTTATCGTTTTTTAAATTCTTTATTAATTAAGTATTTAAATTTATTTTTTTTAAAAACGGATTACTTAAATTAAATTTTTATAACCATTTTTTAAACTTTTACCAAAAAATATTGAATTTAATCAATTTTTTGTTATTATAAAGTTTCCTATAACTATAATTAATTATTATAATTATGATTCAATGTGAGTATTTATAATTAATAATAAGTAAAAGATTTGTTAATCTTTATTTTATTAAATTATAAAAAGATTCTTTATTTGAAGTAATATTATTTGCGCAATTAATTTTATAATAATTATAAAATATTATTTGAAAAATGGAATAAATAAAACCTAATAAAATTTTTATTTCATTTAATACATTGATAAATTTGAATTTACTACTGAATTAAAATGTAAATTATTATATATATATATAATTCCGTCTTTGGCCATATTACTTCAATAGAAGATTCCTCAAATATTTTGATGGAATATTACTATTTTATTATTTTTATTATTTTATCGAAATATTTCGAAGGTCAAATATTTTAATATTCTTGAAATTTAAAAGAAATTCTTATAATGAATATTTTCAATGTTTCAGTGAAATATTCCAAGAATAATACACGGAATCGAATATTCTCACTTTCTCAATATTCTCACTACTGAATTAATTGTAGGTACCACGACTGAATGAAAGTATATTATGCGGACGAAAATTAAATTTTCCAACTTAATACTTACGATATTCATCTCCTGCTCCTGAATTTCCTTATACACCTCGACGATCCTCATCAGAGCTGATCCTGAAACAAGAAGTTAGTTCTCATTAATACGAATGCAGATAGAGAGAAAGAGAGAGAGAGAGAGGGGGGGGGGGAGATTCAAAGGCAAACGATCCGATATATTGGTCGTAAGTAAAATCGTTTCCAAGCAAAACTCAACTCACTGTGTGGTTCACATTGAATAAGGGGTTGATAAAGGTGGTTCAAGGTGGTACAACTAAACGTAGCGGTGAGGGGGGAGGGGGTTTATGGGAGAGTAACGATGCGTTTGAAAAGTTTTGTTGGTCCTGAATTATTCAAAAGTTGAAGGCGATACTGTAATCCAGAGAGGGAGAGGCAGAGAGAGAGAGAGAGAGAGTCAGAGAAATGGAGAAAGATAAGAAGGGAGAGAGAGAGAGAGAGAGCTAAGTAGACCGTCAGGAAAGCTCACTTTTCCGATGACTTTCTCCTCAAAGCTTCTCATATTATAGTCGTGGCCTACCAAACGAAAAGTAGCAAATAAAACAAAAAAAAAATGTAACAGAACAAACAAAACTCACAAAAAGTGAAGAAAAAGATAGGTTTCCGGATGTCCCGAAAAGAAGTTGGAAAAGTTCCCGCATCAGGCGAAGCGACCAAGCATACATGGAAACTTCTTCGATTTCTTTGAATACCCCCCCCCTACCCCCTCCACAATCACTTCCCCCTACTCTTATCGATGTCGAAATCCTGCACTTCCGACCGGAAAAATCCCGGAGGGTAAGAGGGAAAAGAAGGAGTGAGTGGAAAAAAAACAAGAAAAAGTGGCGCCCGACGAAGGAAATGCATAAAAACATTATAGTATGTATCAATAATAATGTTTAGAAAGATCAATAAATAAATTTTTTACGATATTTTTTTTATGGGAAAAGAAAACATTTTCTGATTTATTCTTTTAGGTGGTACATAAAAAATGGGTAATGGAGGGTATTTGATTTTTTTAGTAATGTAAAAAAAAATTTCATTCTTATTTTAAGTAGTACAGTCGTTGATGTAGTCAGACACAAATCTTTAAATATTTCTTTACTTTTAAGAAGTTTTTAATAATCCAAAAAAATTAGTAACTTCTCTTAGTCATTTTAAGTAGTATTGTCGTTGATGCAGTCAGACACAAAATTAAAAATTTGTATTTACTTTTAAGTAGTATAATCTTTATTTTAGTCAGACAACAAATTTTTTTTCTTCTAGAAAATAATAAGTGTGGTAAGTTTGTGTAAAAATAAAAATTTTTGCACTTGTCATTTTTTAAAATAATTGTTCCAATCAGGAATCAAAAGAAGATGACAATAATACAAATTAAGTAAAATGTTTTATTCTTATTAATTATTTCAGAAATAATTAGTTATAATTAATTTCAAAATTAATTAAAAACTAACTAATTAATTAAAAACTAACTAATTATTTAACAACTAATTTTACAATTCATTTATAATAATTATTTGTATAGAATTTTGTTTTATTTCAATATTTTTATATTATTTTATATTATTTACCAACTAAACATTCATATTAATTTAATTACAATATTTAAAAAATAAGTGAATAAAATAAAAAGAAATAGTACAAACATGCATTTGTTATTTTTTCCTTTAAAAAATATTTTTTGACAAATCGAAAATATGCAGGTATTTTTTCATGATTTATAATAAAATAATATTTAAAATAACAAATTTATTCTTTTCTTTTGGGAAAATAATTGAATTATTTTTGGGAAATTTTATTAAAATAGTAAATATTAAAAATCATTGAAATGAGAAAAAAAAAATTTTGAAAATAATTGAAATTAGGACAAGAATTTTATTGACATTTTTAAAAAAAAATTGAACTTTGGTGAAGAATATTGTTATTTATATAAAGATAATTGGGATTTTGACGAGAATTTAAAAAAAAAATGTTCCAAGTGAAAATTATTTTCCGCGAAGAAAACTGAAAAATTACTGTAAAAAGTAATATAAAAGCAGAAAACAATTTTAAAAAATTAAAATAAAAATGCTGTTGTAAATAGTACGTAAATAACATCAACAAAATGATAATTAAAAATTGAAGAAAAATAATAATAAGAAAAAAGAGAGAAACAAAGAAAGCAATGTAAAAAATAACAGAAGCAAAGAAAGCACTAAAAAAAAGAAAGAAAGAAAACAATAGTAATTTATTAATATACTGGAAGAAAATAATTGAAACAGAAAAACAATAAAAAAATAAAAACAAAAAAAGTTCTTTTAATTTACTACTGAAAGTGTTTCATCAATATACTCGCGATGTTTTAAAAAAAAAGCTAAAGAAATGATCTACTTGAAAGTGAGTGTTGAAAAATGTATTGTGTAAATTTTATAGGGGGACTTGAGTTTTGTTGTACATCACTTTCAACGACATAACTATAGGTATACATACATATATATATATGACAAAGTGGCAGAAAATGTCTCTTGAGATGACTGACATCATGAATAAGAAAAACATTATAGACGTGTATGTTCAACGTTAAAGGCTTTTCCGCATTGTTCACACTGTAACGATTACACGAAGAAAACACTCTTTTTCGCTTTATTGCGATCCCTTCTCATTCGTCCTCCCTTTCCCCGTCCATTAAACTTGTCGACATAAAATGATAAGTAAAGCACTAAACGCCAATGAACCCTGTGTTGACGATAGTAGTTTACCCGGAATTATCAATTTACACATTTTACTTATCAAATTGCGTGATAGAAAAGAGTTTTTTTTATAGTTTAACAAACTTAAATTTTTAAATTCGATTATTAATTTATCTGAAAAATTTTATGTTTTTCTTTGTTTAATTATTGTCTATTGTTTAGCATTTTATTTCATTCTTTAGGTTTCAATTGTAGTTTATTATTATTTTTTATTCCTTTCTTTTTTAATTTTGTCTTTTGTTTCAATTAACTATTGTTTTTCAACTCTATTTTTGTTGCTTTAATTATTTTGTTTCTATTCTTTCTGTAATTTTACTATGTTTTTCAGTTTCTATTATTCATTTTTTTAAATCTACATTTTTATTTATTCATTTTTTATTTATTTATTTAAATTAATTTGAAATTAATTTAATTTTTTTTATTGTTCCTGGTCCTATTTTTTTGTTTTAGATTTTTTTCAATTTCTTTGTCTATATTCTTTAGTTGTTTTCTTTTGTTTTCTTTGTTTTTATAATTTTAATATTTTTTATTTAATATTGTTTTTAGTTGTTTTATAATGTTTTTTTCATTCAATGGTAACTTTATTGTTTTTCGTTTTTTACTGTTTTTAGTTTTTTTTACCGTTTCCTTTGTTTCCATATTTTTGTTTCTCTTTTGTTATAGTTTTTAGTTGTTTTATATTGTTCATTTATTTCTACTCTCTAAATATAAATTAGTTAAAATGTTTACTAATTTCTACTAATTTATGCAATGAAATAATTTGTAATTTCTTCAAAATTAAATTTTTTAAAGTGTTTTTAATTAAAATTATTTTATAAATCCATTAATTTTAATAATATTTAAAAAAATTTCTTTGAGAATCTTCAAATATTCAAATATTCAAATATTCAATTCTTCAATTAAATATATATTAGAAAATAAAATTTTCAAAAAAATAATTTCAAGTAAAATTGAAACAAACTTTGTCAAAAAAATTAATTCTTCTACAAAATTGTTATTTAAAAGAATGAGAAATTAAAATTTTCAAAGATTTTAATATGAAACCTTTTCAAAATTCAATTATTTCAAAAATTTCAACTATAATGTTTTTAATATTTAATTTTTATTTAAAATTTTAACTGAAATTTGTTTTTAATTCAATTATTTAAATAATGAAACTAATTTATTGAATAATTGAATTCTCGTAAAGAATTTTATCAACAAATTTTTAAATAATTGAATTTAAGAATAATTCCACTTTTCGAGGAATTCCATTAAAATTTGATTAATTAATTCAGCATTGAGTTTTATTATTTATAAAAATAATTGAATTCCTAAAAAGAATTTTATTTACGAAAATAATTGAATCTCCGTAAAAATTTTATTATTTATGAAAATAATAATTGAATTACTTAGAAGAAATCTATAAAAAATTTGTAAATAATTGAATTCCTGTGAAATTTTTATTAAAATATGGAAATAATTGAATTTTAGCGTTGAATTCTATTAGAATTTTTTTAAATAATTGAATTCTTTTGGGAAATTTGATTAAAATAGCAAATAATTAAAAATCATTAAATTAAGGACAATTTTTGTAAATAATTGAAATTTTGTTCAAGAATTTTATTAAAATTTGTGAAAATAATTGAATTTCGAAGAAGAATTTTATTATTTCTAAAAATAATTGAAATTTTGACGAGAATTTTTTTAAAATTTTAAACATAATTGAATATTTGCGAAGAATTTTATTACTTTTGAAAATAATTGAATTTCTACAATAATTTGTATATTCTTTAAAATTCTCCAAATTATATCGTACAAAATACGAACTTTTTGATTTTTTTCTTTCAAATTACGGACTTTACGAACCTTTTTTTAAAAAAACGGACTTTTACGGACTTGAAGCAAATTTACGAACCTTTGCGGAATTTACGGACCTAGTTCGAGCCTTGAGAAGTGTAACATTATTTTTCTCAAGAGGATAAAATCGTTTGACTTAAACAGAATTTTATTCCCTTATTTTACACTCCTAAGTTATTGATACAGAATTTCTTGTCTAAAATAAAAAAAAATAAATAAAACTTTGAATTTTTTAAATTATTCAACTTTAAGTGAAAAAGTAACACAAGTAGAAAAAACATGGAAAAAAGTGTCGTTTACTAAAACGGAAATCCTTATTTTTCTTATTATTTTATTAAAATAATGCAATACCTACTTTGAAGAGCTTTCTATTTTATTTCCTAAATTTTATATTTTAAAGAATTTTATTTTTTTTATTCTACATTATACATTAAATAAAAAAATTTCAATCATCTAAAAAAATATATTAAATGAATATTTAAATTATAAAATAATAAGAAAAATTAAATTTTA